AGGTAGCTCCCAGTAGAAAAATATCAATTCAACAGCGGCCTTTTAAAGCATTCTCACTTCAATTAATTAATTAATTCCTAATTGAGTTTAAATTAAATATTGTCATGTTTTTAGTGCATGAATCTGAATTGAACAACCTGATAATGCTCACTCTGGTTATTGTTACCTGGTTGCTCACTACGTGCTGTTGCTGTTACACGCCGAATCCAATCAATTAAAAATGAAAACTGTTGCCAGCGCGAGAAAAGAAATATCATCGGTTTTATTGATACATACATATATACGTACGGATTAGCGTTTTATATAATATAGATAGAAGATAGATTCCTTGTGAAATTACCGCACTGTATGATAATTATATATTTTGGGATTCCTTTTTGGTAATAAAACCAAAATATACGGTATTTAAACCAATTGGCAATTTTTCCGTTCATATGGTAACAATTTATCATGAGTTAAGGTTTTCAAAGTTATTTTTTCTTTTTATCACATGTTTGGAAAAAAATATAAATTTGTAAAACAAATTTAACCAAATAAATAGTTTTTATAACATGCTTTAAGGTACCATTAAAAAAATACAAAATTTTATCTCGTATTATAAAACAATATTTTATTGTTAAGTCTGAAATCATTATCAATGCTATTTGGTAAAAATTGTAGAGTATGCTGGTGTTCCCATAGACCCAGAAACACGATAAATGTTATCATATTCTGGTGGTTTTTCCCATACATGTTTTTAGAACTTTCTATTACAAAGATTTCTGTCATGTTTATTTGAGATGAGTAAAAAATGTAAAATATGACTGAGGAAGAAGAAGGACTAATTTAAATTAAAATTTAAAATCGGGATATTTGAAATTGTCTTTCATATCATGTTGTATTTATTCCATTTTTTTCTAATCAGTTATTTAAAAGAACTAAAGTTTTAATCTATTTCTTTTATTATATATACTAATTTATTATTGATAAAAATGATGGGCATCATTTATTACTACAGTTTCTGC